GCATAATAACTTTAGAATTCTTTGGCTTCGAGAAGCATAATAAAAAAGTATTTTTCAATCACCTGGAACAAGCCCATTTCCCTGTTACACCTTCCTTCAGACCCCTGCTGGGCCTGGCAGAACTAGTGGCGCACAATGAGATCCGCTTTGACTGTGTGAACATTCTGCCCTACTCCATTTATTGGCTGCTTGATAAGATTAGTGTTTACTTGAGAGACTTGCTGACCCCCTGGAGAATGATAAGAGAAATAGTCCAAACATTGAGTTCCACAAGGATCATTGGAGCTTCTTTGGTTGGTGATTTTGATTTGCTATGAAATAATATGACAGCTGAAGGGGAAGCTGGAGGATGCTTGAGTAGACAAACGTCTTGCTGCTTGACCATCAACTGCTTCACCGAAGGCCGTCAGCATGTGCGGCTGCACTGCTGCCAGTCAAAGTTGGAAGTCTGCAGCACTGGGGCCCCCCCATGGCACTGTTCTGTCTCGTTTCTCTTACACCTTGGACTTCACCTACAATACGGAGAGCTGCCATCTCCAGAAGTTCTCCGATGACTCGGCCATTGTGGGCTGAGGGGAACAAGAAAGGCCAGAGCTGCCTCCACCTCCTGAGAAGGCTGAGGTCCTTTGGAGTGCGCAGGCCCCTGTTTAAAACCTTCTATGACTCTGTGGTGGCATCAGCCCTCCTCTACGCTGTTCTCTGTCGGGCCCCTGGCAGCGCAGAGCAGGACAGAAAGAGACTGAACAAACTGGTGAGAAAGACCGTTTCTGTCCTGGGCTGCACTCTAGATTCGGTGGAGGAAGTGGCTGAGAGAAGGGAGCTGTCCAAGCTTACATCCGTCATGGACAACACCTTCCACCCAGTGCACCAGACTGTAGAGGAGCTGAGCAGCTCCATAAGGGATAGACTTATACACCCTGTTTGTAAAAAGGAGCGCTACTGCAGGTCACTCTCCCCTGCAATAACTATATAAATAAAATACCTATTTAATAACCTGTGCAATAACCTGTTTGTATTCAAAACCCAGTGTAATAACTATGTATATAAACACCTATTTATATAAATACCTATTTAATACCCTGTGCAATAACCTGCGTAATAACCTGTGTAATAACCTGTTTGTATCTAAAACCCAGTGCAATAACTATATATATAAATACCAATTTATATAAATACCTATTTATATAAACAACTATTTAATACCCTGTGCAATAACCTGTTTGTATTTAAAACCCAGTGCAATAACTATATATATAAATACCTATTTATATAAATACCTATTTATATAAATAACTATTTAATACCCTGTGCAATAACCTGTGTAATAACCTCTTTGTATTTAAAACCCAGTGCAATAACTATATATATATATATATATATATATATATATATATATATATATATATATATATATATATATATATATATATATATATATATATATATATACCAGTTTATATAAATACCTATTTATATAAATAGCTATTTAATACCCTGTGCAATAACCTGTTAAATAAGAGACTTCAGCTGTTATATATCTATTACATCTGGACGCACTGTATATACTGTATATACCCAATGCACCTTTACCTCCTTTTGGCACCTTTTTCTGACTATTGCGCTGATGTGAAAAGTGAATTTCTCCACTGTGAGATCAATTAAGTCTATCTTATCTTATCCTAATGATGCTGAAGGATTAAAGAATGTTTATTAGTATGTTATGAGTTGTAGTTCGATCCCAAGTTTTATCTTATATTGCTGTTGAAAAGTTTCCCTTCAAGGTTTTTGTTCATTTTTTTTTTGTCACAAACTTAAACGTAGAACACAACATAAAGAATTATCTAACAAATTAGTATATCAGACGAGTAAATAATACTTTTTCTTTTCAATTGTTAAGGAAAAAACCTTTCCAAACCAACCGGGTGGTTGTGCCATTCTTGGATACAACAGCTGTTATCTAGCATTAGTGATAACTGACCAATAATAAATGTGTTGAGAAAGTTCAACCAGCTTATCTTTATAGAATTGTTTTCATCTTATCTAAATGGGATTATTTCAACCATGAAGACCTTATTGGGGTTCATGCAACTTACAAATACACATACACTCACCCACATGTATATATAAACAGAACTTTATGTCACTCCAGGTTGTGATCTTGGTGTTCTTTGGATCATCATCCTGCTGGATAAACCAATTGTGTTAAAGCATACGGCCATAAACTACAGTGTGAAGAATTCATGATTTCATTATTTAATAATTTGATCTATTTTCTAGAAAAATGAGGCTTTAAAATGACTATAAAGATGCACTGAAGAGTATCATGTACAATGTCAATGTAATTTTATTGTAATGTTTCTAAAATGAAAAGGAAAATTATCGGAACATGAAAAAGTTAAATAAACATTAGCTTTAAACTTTTTAAATCCTATCAAAATTGATAACAGCTTATTTAAAAGGTGATACACATGATTCGAAAATAGGTTTAGGATTGTAAAAATATGTTCCTATTAGGTTTCACTACAACTTTAATAAAGGTCAGAGTGTTTTTATGTTTGCCCTGAGAACTTATTTTTCATTAATCTGTACATGTAATGAAGAAAAAATTGTTTTCTATGTGGCTGCTTCAAGAATAATGAAAGTTTATAGATGTCTTTTAATGGCCGTAATACAATCTGAATATAAAAATTTAACTATTTAAACTGTTTTAATAAGGACACAGATGTTAATCCAGGCTGCTGGAGGCAACCCAATGCACCTCAGCTGTCCAGGATAAAGTATATATAACTGGAGGCCATTTCATTTTATAGTTATCATTACTTTAAAAAAATATGTTTTTCAATGTGTACATATATATATATATATATATATATATATATATATATATATATATATATATATATATATATATATAAAATTGTAAAAAGAGGGAAATTCTAACAGAATGTACTGATGCAAACTGATCTGTCCCTAATCACAATGTTATATTGCTCACCTGTCACACACCTCACTGGGTGTAAGAAACGGGGATGCTGGTGGATCATCTGTTTCCATGATGAAGGAGGGACAAAAACATTTAATGTAAATATCCTGCTAAACATCTACTAGCGTTTAGCTCATGCTAACCCTCTGATGGTGTTTTCCTGTTGCCTAGTCTGGTTGATAAAGGTCAATTCTCAGCTCTGTGAACTCTCTGGCTTATTTGTTTGGCCTCTGCATTATTTACAGACACACAATAGGCTCATTAAATGCTGAATTATTCCTGGCTTGTTTTTTCTTGAAAACCAAAAACAAAACAGAACAAAATAATAAAAAACTTGCAATCATGCACCAATTCAGACAGAACCCAGCTGGGCGGCATCATTGATGATGTGATTCCCCTCCGATATTGACAAAGAATTACTAAGTAGTGGTACCCATCAGATAGGTGTCTTATTTAACTGAACAGGTTAATTATCTATACTTACTGAGATTTAAACTATTTAGCTAGGAAACCTTTCTGGAAAAAAACGAGTGGGGGAAAAACTGGGTCCCGGTATTGGACGCCTTCTCCCTCTCTCCTCTCTCTCCCTCTTCTCTGTTCCTTTTTGACACTCAGACTTTGGGGCGATGCATTTTTAAACCACAGACCTTTTTACCACACTGCTGCTTATTCACAAATTTTCTTGTTAATTTGTTTCTTTCTGATCACTATATCCAATGTATGGCATTTAAGACCCGGTTCAAGCAAAATGCTGGTGACAGACGGGGGAGACCTGATGTGACGCAGGACCTGAGGACCAAACTATTTATTACAATTTCATGGGGGTGGGGGGGGTGTCATTATATCCATGCTTTGTTTCACTGTTTACTGCTGAAAAATGAGGGAGAACATGAAGATTATTTATTTTACTGCTGGATTTTCTTGCTATATTTGAAAAATATAGCAGGACAAATCTTTTCTTCTTCTTTTCAGCCCCCCTCCCCGCAGTCAAGGGCTCGTTAGAATTGTCCTAACTTTCCCCCCCATCTGCCCCTGCACAAACCACTAAACAAGCAACAAGCTGGCAAGTTAGAGCTAACTTTTTCAGATTTTATGTTAACATGCACACAAAACATAACAGATAAACAATAACAGACAAAAAATAACAATTTCATGCATCAGAGTTGGGGGATGTGAATCAGAAGCTATTCTGTTTATTGGGGATTTTTCAAACAACTTTATTTGCTTTCATGTGCACTGTCACCACGCAGACGGCACATTTCTAACTTCTAAGGTCATCGTTTTCACCCTACTCTGGGATAATTCTCACAATGCCTACTCCAGCTCCTTGAAGATGAGGCCTCACAGTAGCAAAGCGTATCTGCACACTGTAAAAGAAATGGAAATCTAATTAAGTGCATTTTTACTTAAATTGAGGAGGCAAGTGAGACACTCTGCCAATGGAACCAGAACATTTAAATTTAAAACAAGAAAAAAACAATAGCCTTGTTTTATTTCAAGTGCATATTATCTAATTATCTTATTTTAGGAGTAAAAACACTCATTCCATTCGCAAGTCATATCAACCAACTGAAATTAAGGGTAAACACTCTTATTTTAAGACTTTTTTTTTTTACTTATTTCTAGTTCCAGTGGTTCTTATAAATGTTTATTAATTTGATGGTTTATGTGGCATTTGCAAACAAAACAGCTTTCTGACAAGAATTTAATATTTTAAGTGGGATCTTGCAGGAAAATTGTGGAATTTTGAATATTGTGTGTTTTTTTGTAATTGTTCATTGAGTTTTACAGATATGATATTTTCAGAGAATCAGTGTAAATGTTGAAGAAAAACAATATTCATTCCAATAAAGTTAGCTATTCGTAAATTGGTGGAATTGATTGATAGACTGTTAAATGACTTCCAATTAGTGGAAAAAGGACAAACATTACAACACCAACAATAAATAAAAGTGCTGCAGGAAAACTTGCCTTAAAATGCACTCATCAGATTTTGTTGTATTTTTCTCATTCACAGAGTGGAGATATTAAGCTGTGACTTGAAACAGGAGCGATTCAAACATAGCATAAAATAGGTGAGCATCCTGAAACGTTCAGCTTCACAGTAGCTGTGCGTTTACATTATGTCTCTGTATGATTATAGAATAAGTACGTACTTCTAGACTGGAAATTGAATGCATAAATAGATATTTTTGACTAATGTTTTGAAAAGGGAGAACGATCAATGCCTTATATATAAGAGTGATGAAAATCTATTACATCCTTGATCTAATTATAAAGAGAAGTAAAATCAATATGATTTACAGTATGCAATGATTTTCTATGGTAGGATTCAGACATAGTTAAACTTAAAATGCCTATAAAATGCATTATAAATTCACATGTTTTTGTTAGCATCCAAGCCACTTCTGTTTAATGCACTTTAGAGATACTCATCTATCTTCACATTACCCAAACATCCCCACAAAAACAGGGAGCGACAGAGCTTGAAGAGAAGGCGTGGTCTCCTGGTTCTAGATATGGAGCCTGTGCCGACTCATGGGGAATGGCGCAGTGGGCTTGGCCATGGGGGTCTTAAACAACTTCTGGGGAGGGCTGACCTGCATGGGTAGTTATTTGTGTGGGTCCCCAGGCCACATCCTAGCGTGGTGGGCTCCCTTCTGCTGGCCTATGGCTTCCCGCGGTGTGCTGGGCTGGCTGGGAGCTGTGCTGTAGATTCTGTGTTGAATTGTGGAGGGAATTCAAGAGCATTGAGTTAATGTCCATCTCCTCCTCAGGTGTAGCCTGGCACACCCAGATGGCATTCTGATAAACTGCTGCTAACTCCAGCCAGATCTGGCCAGACTAATCACAGCACGAATCACAGGTGGGACTTTACGATGTGAGACTGTTACGGCTGGTTTATACTCAGAAACCAGGTCGTCTGCGTGTGTCTCGCAGTAATTGCAAATGTGTCCCCACACCCTCCGCAGACTCTCTGCAGCACCTCTCCCAAATTGTAGCTAACCGCAGACAGGAGGCCTCTGGTTGGTCAAATCTACACCCGCTCTAGACTATCCGAATTTCCTGTTTGGTACCTTACCGGCTTGTTTTGTTTGTATGACTGTAATTATGGAAAACGACTCGTGAAGTTGGACCAACTAGTAGAGCGAGGTGCGCGAGAACGCTGGGAACCTTTGTCCACCTGGAACCCCGCACTTTTTCACCCACAGATAGTTCATGATTGTCCCTTTTGTGGCGTGGAATAACATAGCGCAGACCACGCTTCAAAATTATGCATAGCTCAAAAATATCTGCATCATACCTCCAACAAGCTCACTGCGACACACAGCTGCAGGAGTATAACCTGCCCTTTGGTGGGAAAGTTACCCATAATGAAGCAGCGCTTTTCTGTTGGCAACAAGATGGCGACCACAACAGAGCAATGCTGCAGTGAAACTTAAAAATGTGAACACCACACCTTATATCCTCAGATTTTTATGGCCAAAGCAGCAGAAATAATTTCTTTGATGGCTTGACATGTTTCTCAGACTACAAAGGTACAAAAAACAGAGTGCATCATTTGGCATTTTAGGTTCACATCCGTAGTTAACTGATTGGATCTAACCTGATGACACTCACCCTGGTAGTCCCGCCTTTGAATTGAGCTCTACCAGCTCTTTTTCCAGAGTAATACGCATTATTTACGTCATATCACTATGGCTGACCAGGCTACTTCCGGTGGACAGTAGGGCAGGTTGGGTGCCCAGCATTTTATTCTGTTCCACTCTGAAAGCTGAACCTCCACTACATCTCTGTCGAAATTTTACTACAGCTGCATTGCAGTCTATTTGACCATTGCTGATCTTACATGCCTCTTACTGTGGGACTTCTATGGTGCCTGCCCCATTAATAAATGTGCATCTCCATTAAAAAACTAGAACAAACATTCATCCAGTCAGTATAAAATATACTCACCCATCTGCACACACAAACACACAGATACTCAAAGCTACCATAATCATTCGTATGTGGCTGGATCTTCATCCTTAGATCTATATAAGGTTCTTATTTAAATTATTAGTTCAAGATCCAGTAAGTCTAACGCCAAGAAAGTCCTAACATGTCGCTGATTGATACTTTAACATTAGTATAAACATTTCTGGCATTAAGAAAAACTGACTTTTCTATTTTTCCTTTGCATGAACTCAGGTTCCAAGAATATACATATACAGTGCATATAAATATGAACCAGCAGTTTTGTTTACGTTTTATTCCTAGTAGCAGTTCTGCAGGCCTACTGTGCACCTCACCTGTGCGATGGTGTGCCTTTTGTCAACGTAAAAAAGAGACTATGGCTGTGACATTTATTAGAGCTTGTCAGCAAAAAGCACATGAGGCCCCTTTACGGTCACGCCTCAGCCGAGGGCGGCCTTTTTCCAAACAGCTTTCCCGTGGAACATCAAGCGTCACTAAAACATTCCCATATTTTTTCTATTTGTAGTGTTTGTAGCCACACAGATAAATGATCAAAGTAAGAGCCCATACACAGATGTATGAGGTATGCTTTATGACCCACCCAGTCTTATCTCACCTACCAGCACCTTGATGTTGTCTGTTAAATTTGCTCTCAATCTCATGCCAGCATCTTTTTATGATCTTTAACTAGATGAGTTAATGTTCTTTATTGACAGCAGCTTGTTCTTTTTTTTTACCACTTCCCCCTGAAGTCAAAGGTGAAGACAGTGATCAAAAACAGGCCAGGTGTTTGTTTTTAAGAGCTTCATTTTTTTTATTTTCTTTAGTTCCTCTGCCTGAGATTATTTGAAGAACAGAGAATGAAAGTTTTGTCACTGGTAACCATGTTTACAGTGGTTTTATTTGGGCATTGTTAAAAATTCCTAGGGATATGAAAAGTTGTTAGGTGCAAAGTCTGGGTTATAAGTTATGAAATATATGTAGAATTTATAGTAAAATCTGTATTTAACTTTATATACTTTCGCTTAAAATTACATTTTAGACATTAATTGTCTAAAAATCCATAAAACAATTAAAAGAAGACAGTAGTAAAAAGATTTCTAAACCATTGTTCAACAGACCTAGAAGGATATGTAAATAACTGGCTGGGAAAAAAAAGATTCCATTCCAGTCTAAACTCTTTTGCAGCTTTTACAGTTTTCTTTTTTCACATCTGTATTTCCTAAATTACAATATCAATTTCCCAAAAGAACTTTGATTAGCTTCCCTATACCTTCTGCAGGAAAACATGGCAGCAGAATTAATCTATCACCACTATGTTTGACTGTGGAAAAGGGTAGTATGAATTGTGCTAAACAGCATTTTCAAAGGTGTCCAAACTTTAATTTTGGTCAGTAGTTCTGAGTAACACACAAGTAAAGTGAAAAAAAAGCATTTACTTATGATTTACTTAATCATATTGAGTTACTTTAACACATTTTACTCATGTTAGAGGGAGAGGAAATGAAACAATGGTGTTAAAGTAACTAAATAGGACTCTTTTTTAACTGTTTTATGATCATTTTAGCTAAATTAAACAAATGACATAAAATCTGAATAAAAATTTTCCTTTATTGCAGTGCTCTATAAATATTATAAATATTGTATACCCCTAATGTGTTGTTAATAGTAAACTTGTTTTTTCTTCTGAACATTTTTTAGTTATCGAATCTGGATAGGGTGCAGATAGTTAAGGAATGCACAAAAAATAAACTTCATGAAAAGGATAAAAAACATATAGATATGAATAAAGAGTTGCACCTAAAAAAAGAAAAAAGGTTAAATTTAAAACCCTAAAACAATCTTATCAATATCCCTGCCAGTGCAATGCAATGGAGTGTAGATATTCACTGCAAAAATGATCTAGAAATCAGTAAAAATTTCTTGAATTGATTGTATTTACTCTTAATTTGAATGGGTAAATAAGATAATTTGCCAATGGAATGAGTAGTTTTACTCCTTTTTTTTCCTATTTTTTTTACCTTATTTTAAGGTAAATTATCTTGTTGCACTGGCAAAGTGTCTAACTTACCTCCTCAATTCAAGGAAAATGCACTTATTCTAAGAAAAAATGACTTATTTAGATTTAAATTTTTGCAGTGTTAATGGAGGTGATGGTGCTAAAGTTAAAATATTGGCAGGTATTTGCAGATGCTGTACAGCACTGTGGATGAGTTACCGCAGTAAAGTTTCATCCTGCACTAATGATGTCTTAGCCGATCACTAAAGAAGCTGCTCAGCTTCTCTGCACGCCACTGTGGGTGATAGGTGTTGTCCATGATGGATGTAAGCCTGGCTAACACCCTCTTCTCACCCAACAACTCCACTCAGTCCGATAGTCAGCCCAGGAGAGCCTTTCCTTATAAACAGCCTGTTTAGCCTTTTTCTGCTTCTCTGCCTGAGGCCCAGCAGACATCAGGGTGAGGGTCAGTAGAGGCTACTACAGAGCGGTAGATAGTTACCCCTGCCTATAGCAATTAAAAATTATTGGGGTCCGCATAAAGAAAATCAACAACCAGTAAAGGTCCGGAGACATTTTTAATTATAATCTGTTACATCAAACAGCATTGAACATTGAAATAAAATGAGAAATTGGGAAAAATATAGATTGAATTTTTAAATAAAAAATTAAGAAAATAAGTTTTTCCATTTTAAAATCTAAATTGTTTTTGAAGTAGAGAACAACAAACTTTCAGTTTAGTCTAGAGACAATCTCCTGACTCACTTTTTTTTTTAATAAAGCAACTGAACTGACAGTTTATTTTTCCTTTCTATTGCTTAATGAGAGCAGTGGGCCTTATTCTGCCCTGCAAGGCTTTAAACCTGAGTTTTATATGGTGACAAAGCCATTCTAAGGCACATATCAAGGTGCTCATTTTAAGCCTGGATCCATATTTATTTTTGGTTCTGTTCGTGGTGGAGAATCCTGCTTCACAGCAGCAGGTTGAGCCAAACATACTTAAAATGTGCAGGGTCATCTTTGAGCACACCATTTCACTTTTCTTTCACTAGTTCACCGCAGTTCTTCCAGCAGTCCACATTTTCTCTGCTCTCTTTTTTTCATCATCTTCTCCTTCTT